GGGGGCGAGTAGCAAACACAATAAATATAGATATCTACCACATGCAACTTCACAACTCCATCCATCAATTGTGACTTATGCACTTTTGACTAAATCCGAATATTTTATTCCTACTGCATGCATTGATGAGCATCAAATATGATTTAATTTGTACATCATATATGATGAAGTAAATTGTGGTAATTATAGTTGACATTACGACATTAATCTAATGGTTCCAAGCCTAGTCTCCTAGATTCCAGGATAAAATTATGCTACATAGAAACGCCGCGGGATAGCCTATACCTAGCGGGAAATGCCACCTGTGGGAAGGGAAGGAGAATACCGCCTCCCACATGCAGGAATGAGAAAGGCGAGTTCCCTTTCTTGTTTTTCCCTTCCACCTTTAAATGTCAATTTTGTTGTTGAAAGTAATAGTTGGAACTAAAAACAACTAAAAATTTTTTACTATTTAAAAAGAACACTCCACTCATCTTTTTCACACACTTCTCATCCATTATTTTTTTGAATTCTAGCATTGTTTTTGTTGAATATTTTCCACATTTCTGAATACCATGGGTCCATTAAGACCACCAGTGTCTTCCTCCGATTTCTCATTTTCTTCATTTGCGGTTTACGCTCAAGGGCCAAGTTTTGTTCCAAATGCAACAATTTCAAGAATGACTAATTTCTTGAACTATATTCAAGAAATATAGTTCTTGAATAACATGTACATTAGAGGTAAGGACATAACACGCACATTAGAGGGGCTGATTTCTAGAACTATATTCCAATTAAGGACTCCTGCCATTATTGGAAAGACATGATCAGAATAAGTAGACCTGTGCAAACAAGGGTCGGCTCGTCCGGCCCGCCCAGCCCGCCCTTTAAAATGGGTGGATATGGACAATCTTTAATACCCAGATGGGCGGGCCGGCCCAAGCCCGAATTGTATTTGGGCGGATCTGGAAATTACTTTGAGCCCATCCGGGCCAATAGGCCCGCCCATATTCATTAAATACATTTACTTTATTATTAATTATCTAGACATTATAAATTTTAAATTTTTTTTAATTCATGTATAATAGTTCATATCACCCACCCCTCTTAAACAAAAATCAATAGTGTTTTAATGAGTCTGTATGATGGGTTTATTAATTATGTAACAATATTTTTATTATGTTTTTTATGTAAATGTGGCGAGTGGTAATTTTATTTTAAACATTTGAAAAGGAGTTCAATATTTACTTTTTGATTTTTTTGTGTAAAAAAGATTTACTTGATGTTATATCTGGGCCGGGCAGCCCGGTGGGCAGTTCGGCCCGCTAAAGTGGGCGGGTATGGGCAAAGAGTTTAGTCCATCAAATCCGGGCCGGGCCAAGCCCGCCCATGCAAATGGGCTAATAATTTGTATCAAGCCTTGCACAGATCTAAGAATAAGAGAATTGTTTAC